TCTCAAGTCGCTTGCTCAATTCGTTCTCAAGTCATCGATAGAAAAAAAAAATTCCGGCCAGACGGAGCAGCCAATAAAACATAACTGGACAAGAATGCCGCTTGGTCACTAAGTTCATCTATTTGGACTTTTCAAACTAATTTTTTTTGGAGAGCTTTTTGTTGTTCTTGTCCAAGATTACTTAGCTCCCGCTCCAGAAACTAGGTCAAATTACCTTTGTTTGGAGTAATATGTACCTCGGAAAACCAACTTGCTTCAAGAGCAAATTCGACTGTATTGGGACAGAGTATTTCTTTCTTTTTCTTAACGCAGTTACTTTATACTCACATCAGATAGAGGCGCCCCACAAGTGGAATTATTATCTGGTGGGTGGAAATAATCCATGTCGTAAGCCAGCGCAAGCTGTCTCCCGAGGCGCGGGCGGGTGGGCTTGCTACCTGAAAAATGGAAGTAACGATAGCATCTGCGGGGGCGGCAGCAGCCGCGGCAGCATGGCAGCAAAAGAGAGACTGGCCCGCCTTTTCTTGGCTCTCCCGGCGCTGCTCTCCGACCTCAAGGCCATCCCTTTCACTCGACTACTACATTCTTCCTGCACTTCAAGATGAGGGTATTAGTGTTTCAACCTCTAAGTGAAAAGTCAGCCCGTCTTTTTCCTCGTTATTTGGCGGACGGGAGGAATCCCACAGCACACCGCAAGCTCTATTTCGGCGCACTGGTAAGCGCGGTCTCAATACGTATCTTGCAAATAACATAGTTGTTTGTTTCTCTTAGACAGCTGCTTATATTTCATGGGTTGTTGGTGAAACCATTGTTTGGTGCAAAAAGAGATACATTCGACCCTTCCTACAAACAAGCGGCTATCTTTCTGGGCGTGGCAGACAAACGGCCATCTTTCTGAGCTGAGCAGACCAACTGCTAACTGCTTTTCCCACCTCGCGACTTTTATTCTAATATCCCACAGAAGAGGTTATGTAACACTGTCAGCGTTCAACCGATTATTATTTGCGTCTGTCAAAGCAGTAAATTTCCCAACCGGTAATTTTATGTCTCTTGCTTCGGGAGTTATTCAATGTAAACGTGCACAACCCTAACCTCAAAGAAAAGCAGATATCGCATTGTCTGCTCCTCGCGCCCCTCGCCCTCATAGTTCTCAATCGGCATCGGGCGCCACAATGAAAATACAACAGTGTGCTTCGCCTTAAATTTCACCTACCACAGGCCAAAGTGGCCTCTAATGGGAATCAGAAAAAAATTGCGTCTTCCATCACCGAGTTATGTAGGTAGGATGGTTGATGAAGTCAGCCGGTCTGACGTCGGAAGCAGTTTTACACTGCACTAACTGAGACCAGTACTTGGTGTTTGAACACTTGTTTGAATTTTAATGTTGCACGCCAATTATTGGTGTTTAAGTTCAAGTGTGCATTTTCCGAGGGGCGTGGAACTGGCCAAAAAAGTGTACACGTGATTGTGTCAAGACAATCACTGTTTCAGATTGTGTATGATTGTGTCAATGATAGCCTCTGACGACCAGGGGGAAATTACGCAGGCACGTAGCGCACAGGCTATTGCATGGTTTACAAATATTGTGAAGATATATTCGAGATTTGAGAATTTCTAGAGACTGTATGAATGTATATGTATAATAGTTTACTAGAAGGCTCCCTTCGGGGGCAGCTGAGCTTGCGGCGCCCTGTGCACTGTCATGATGACAGTTTGCATTAACATGTCAAACTCCGTTTGGTAACAGTGAAATTTAATTTAAACATGTCGTTTGAACTACACCTTTTGATCATCGAGTATTATTGTTTGTCGTTACTTAATGTTTTAAATCTTCAATTTCAGTTTAAAGCCGGTTTCCTAGAGTTCGGTAGTTTGTAAACATCTTGTGTTTTGTGGATGTTTATTGACTTTTTCCTCGGCAACCCGCCAATGTCACTGAATCTTCACGAGAAAATTAATGTGCTCATTTCTAAGTATCACTAAATGGTGACAAAAACGTCCTATTGATGAATTTAGGACAGAAGCATTGAAAAGATCACTATTTCCGCCAAAAATTTGTAAATTTTGATGTCAATTTTATGCCAAAAACTTAAATTTGTCAATGGAGTCATTGTAATTCGCAATGGACCTCTAATGCCCGGCGAAAATACTTTT